ATGCTCTTTTCACTGTGAATCATCATTCCCTACACGGCTGTACGACAGCGATGCAAAGAACACAGTATCTTATTCCCCAAATGTTTTCTCCGCTCATGCTAGTCGATCGTATCTCTCTCATTTGCGACTAGACTTTTGAGTTAAAGACAAGCGCATTTATTTGTGTAACGATCGTTATACCTATTCGTATACCAAGTTGATTGCTTACTTGACCGTGACCTGCGTATGTGATAGGTTGAATCGGTGTTGAAGACGGTCCCGTTACACAGCTACCGTTCATAAGCGGTGATCGGAGGTTAGGCCATCTTTCGGATCCCGGCAACGAATCTGGTGTACTTGGTGAACACCGGACCATCATGGACTACATTTTCAGGGCTGGTGCAGGTCTTTAATTACCATCAGAAACAGCCGCGAGCATGAGCTGTGTATGATTCCACGGTGTTCGCCTCCTGGCCTTCGGAGTGTGCAGCCGAGCCACTGAATACATGGCCGCTGAACTAGCGTCATGAGCTGTTTAACGCTCAAACGGCATCCTGTGAGCACTGACTTGTCGAACCTTCAGACACCTAGAGTGTGGTTCAAGGTACAGAACATACTGGTTGCCGGAGTGTGGTGCTCTTGGAATAGATTTTGGGCTGGCTCAACCTGCCTCCGTCCCATCTGTTCCTTCAACCATATATGCAGTTGCAGTCAGTTGCTCGGGATTGTATACCAGAGTCTGGTGTGATTGCGTTGAACAACCGTAGCTATTCAATTGTGTTGAGTGTTCAAGTTCTCACCGAAGCAGCTCAGTTCATGTTAGTAGAGTAACGGGTTCAAGAGAGTCTACCAGAATGTATCCCGTCATCGTGAGTCAGCCTCATTTGTTTGACCGTCTGTTGGAACAGAGTAACAGACCGTCTCACGTTCCAGGTCAGAGCAGCATCAGAAGACGATCTCGCGGAGTAGCAAAGTGAATGTATCACACTGAGCGTTTCATGTATATGGAACGACCTCCGATTATCTGACGAACACGTGATCCAGTTAAGTAGCCTCAAATGAAGAAATAAGTCCAAGTTAAGCTCTCCATTTCTGTCATATCATTTCCATGAACTTACTAATGGTAACCAAACAAGTGTTATAACCACAGTCATGTCGCGAAAAGGAACCAAGCGCTGTCTGGCCCAGATAACATATAAACAGGCAAAATTTGGGGGTTGAAAGAATATGTCGCTGTTTCTCAATCGGCTATCGAGTTTGTTCGAGAGTGACTTGCGCAGCATTGTGCATCCTCCACCTATGGTGCACGATATAACTCATGTGTGTTGCTTTTACTAGGATGATTGAACATCACACAAGTGTCATATGGGCTGCGTAATATACGTTCCGAATTCCGGGACTTGATGTTGAACAGCATCTATTGGATTCAGAAAACATGCGGTGACTATATCGGAATTTCACCTAATGTCCCAGAGACGCACATAATGTGAAGAGGAGTACCCGGAATTTTAATCTGAATTCCCTGCATATCGCAAGCGTGGTCATGAAGTCACGACAGAAAACTGAAAAACCCCGTTTCTTTTATTAGGTTGCCACTAAACAGGGAATTATTTTCCTCAACCCTTACAACCTCCATACCAATTAACATTATTCTCATAACGATCTACACACTGCTTTGTCTCATATCATCACGATTTGCATCCATTTTTTGGAGGTCATCTGATGGGAATCACTTCATTCTTTTCTGAAATTCCAAGTAATCATTGCAATTGTATATGGGATAGAACAAAAAATGCATAGCGCGGATCGGTCCTTATTTGCCACTTCCTCAGCGTACTCGTCCGTTTCTTGGTCAAATGTCTTAGCGGAGGATTTGAAGTTTTCAAACACTAGGCTAAATCCACTCGTCTCGTGGGCAGTTCACTCTCATGAAGGTGTACCGCATATCTCGCTAACCTGAAAGGAACAACATTAGTATGAGTATTTAAGCGAAATGTCGCTACATGTGACAGGACAAAACAAACTGGTGTAGGTTATTGTGGCCTTAAGTGTTAACTCAGTGATGTCCAACATTGTCCCACTTTATACCAACTCTCCATGGCTGGTTACCCTCGGATGAATAAAGGTACTAACAGACAGCTGTGTTTCTTGAATCTTTGTCGCAGTAGCTGGTCAGTCCGTTTTGTATATGCCTGATGTGGTTTTTCAACTCAAGCCACTGAACTGTAGTATCGAGCCTTTGTCCAGACTACCACCGGGCTGTAGCGTGGAGTAAAGAGCTATTAATTTAACGGTGACTCAATGGCATTTTGGTCTTATGTCATTGTACTCAGCGCTGGAATTACTTACATAAGCTATCTGTTCTCATGTAAAACAACGGAAAATCCAATGGTGTTGAGCTATTTGAACTTCCTCGGTTACGATTTATGCCATTGAACGAGTCACAGTTATCAAACCAGGGGCTGGTCAGTGGGTGGCACTACTGTAGGTTATCTTCCCTTTGCTTTCTTCCTTTCGAGTACTGGATCCTCGTTCTTTCGGGATTTTCTAATAACCATTCAGTCTGCCACATTCACGAGTGAGCATCCAACAGTACCAACAATTGCATTAAACCTCGTTTTCTTTCTCTTACACGCATTATCTTCACATTGTCAAACTGATGGATCAATTAATCACAATCACTTAGCCTGGTTTCACTATGGGCATGGGAATAGGGATGGGGTGCTGCTTGAGAACAGAGAACGGTTGTTTAAGTTTGCTAAGTAGGTTGGAGCACAGTGACATTTTGGGATCACCATCTGGGTCGATTTCTTGTTGTCTGTCTGTCTATCCGTCTGTCTGTTGATTACTGTACATCCTTTCCTTGTATTGAACAGACATTGCTTGAGATAACTGCACAGATTGCATGCTTTCTGTATGTTTACGCCCAAGTGCAACGATACATTTCGTAAGTCCTTTTTTATTCCGTGTGCTTTGGAAACAGTTCCAGAGATTTCTGTCATTGTGATTGAGTCACGCTCCTACGTGTGAAGGAGCCTGTAAGATTTCGAACAACCGGCGCCAAAAGTAACCACTATTGTTCAAACGAAGTGGGAAGTTGGGTGATCTGTTGAAGAAATATATTCCAACGCTGGGTAGCACGACCAATTTGTAGGCTCGTTAGTGGTGTTTTCGATCTGTCTAAGTTCCATTTCTTGAAACGGTGTACTAAATTTGAATCCGAAGATGGAAGTCTAAACGTAGAAGAGACATACAGTAGACGTAATCAGTTGAACAGTACGCATCATTTACTATTGATGTCTTATGTATAAAATTATCTCACAACGTTCGAATTATGCTTCAAGAATCCCCGAGAAATCAGGCATATCCGAAAATTTTCATGAGCTTCGTATCATTGATAGGCTACTCTCGACATCCAGTTGCATCTCAAGAAGGGGCTACCCAAATGGAGCTTAATCGAACTAGTAACTAGAGTAAGCTGCGAGGACCTGTCGGACAATATGGGTGAATAAAGCGGAATACCGATCGCCAAGCGGCTTCGTTGCCGCTGCCGATACTGAACGTATCCACTTGTTTTCAGCAACATCTTCTGGTCACAGTACGAGCAGTAAGTTGCCCACACTACAGTTCGATAGAATGCCCTTGTTGAGTCGATTCAACTACAAAGAACTCACTCACATTCTTTTCCTTGTACTAGGTAGTGCAACTGGATCAACTGATTGCCGCCAAGGCCGGATTCAAACGTGTCTGGCGTGTAACCGGACAGACATATCCCAGAAAATTGGATACCGAAATTGTCAACGTCCTGTCAAGCCTCGGCGCCAGTATCCACAAAATATGTACCGATATTCGGTTGCTCGCAAGCTTCAAGGAGCTTGAAGAACCTTTCGAAACCAACCAGGTTTGTAAATTCGAACAATTCAGTGATTTCTGGTGGCTTATGTTTTTTCGTCTGCGAGGTTCTGGTGTTGTTTATCCTAAAGATTTCATGGGCTCTTTCGTTTACTGTGTAGACTGTTGTTGCGGTATTTCCATAACATGGATACTGCATAGTGATAAAGACATAGCTGTATATTATCTCAGTGAAACTTAATCTCGGCAATATACTCAAAGAGTGTGATACTATCCTACTGTGCTCCGCCAACTAGCGCATAAAATTTAATATAGAACTTTCGAATTGTCCGAAAGTCGGGTTGGTTCACGTAATGGCACACTTCAATCCATACAGCCTGCTGATACAAACGTGACACAACCTGTTTCACCAGCGGTTGATTATGGCATGTGAACGGCTGGGACATCTACGCCGCGGATGGTGATTGCTTTTGCCATGGCCACCAGTACTTATTAACATAAATCTTTTGCGGCTTCTCCTGTCTATTCGGGCAGAAAGTCAAGTCAAAGGCCAAACGTAAGTTAACTGGGCAGTTCAGTTGCATCAAACATCAGTGGTGTAAAAAAAATTAAACGAGTTGAAGAATTCATTGGTCAACGACGTCACAAAGAATTTTCGGGCTCCTGGAGAACTATTTCTGGGACATCCATCTGGCGATCTAGAGTGGTGATAGAGACTGAAGCGGATATCTGATTCAGCAATAATAACGACGTAAGTAAACAACAAATTTTAAACACTAATAGATGACGACTCCCTGAAAAGTCCCAAAAACATCGACTTGGCTCCGGTGATTAGGTGGGGAAAGATATGCAGAGCTTCAACACCATGGTGACCCGACCCTGGAGAACGCACCATTGTAATTGATTAACATCGTCTGGCAGAAAGGATAAGTACCGCTGGAATTAAAAGATGTTTCTAATTGCACTGCTTTGTAGAAAAAAAACAAGAATTCATTCGCCGACCACAAGGGCATCAGCCTGGTTGGTGGTGCGAAGAAGTGCAAACCGCTTTCATGAACGACGGTACTGTTCTATTCCAAGGAATCTGGTTCACCAGATCAAAGTCGGCATTATCGTGCTTGTGGATAATTTTGTGTTGCTTGTACATACATAAGATAGACTTTGATGTCTTGGTGCGATCGCTGCTGTACAGTCTAGTTTGTGCATCTACTCAAAGGGAACCTTCGTTGTGCGTCAGCCAGCGCCTGGTAGTGTCCATGCATCAAGTTTGTAGACTGCTGTACGGAATTCTGTTCCCTCGGTAGCGTAGTATCGTTTCACTCAACAGTTGATTGTCAGGCGGGATCCTGTGTTGCCAAAAGTAGCCTGGCTTTTGGCTTACTGAAGAAACGATTGTGGAGAAACGGAATTTTTCGGCTTGAGATCAAAGAAGATGATGGTCCCGCTGGTTCCCATTTGCGGTACTAAAACGCTAATCTCTTACTAACACTAAATCCTATGTGCCAGTGGCTTTCACATGCAATGTCTGAGACGTATGTTGCACATCACACCACTAAGATTCATGTTCGCACTTTCTACCGCTAAAACGGATCGCATTGTTCCGGTATTATGATGGTTTGTATGTTGATTTTCAGGAGTTTGGGTAATGGATTTCACTACTGAAGCTTAAACTACAAGAGGGGTGTCACTTAATTCACTACTGCAGTCGATGGGTCGGTGAATTCAATTACCAGGCAGTTGATTCGTATTTGGCCTTCGTTATCGAATTGCTATGTTGGCCTCAAGGAGTAGTGTGCTGGAAATCACAAATTGTTTTTGTTTGAATTGTCAAATCAACCAGCAATTGGGACTCTATAAGCAATGATCAAACTGAGAACTGCAATTTCTTGGTAAGCTTACTTACTGTGTGGTCGGTTAATGGTTGTGGACGGGCAAGCACTGTCGATAATTGACAGTTTCTAGCAGGTATATTTGTTGGAAGGGGATAGAATGCAAGTAGATTTAATTCGGATTCGCTGAGGCCTGGAACAGCTGCGTAACATGTGGATTGTCATTACGTTGGCCTGAGAGAAGTAAGTGGTACTCACTTCACTCGATAGGCTATTTCAGGTTTCCGGTGGATTGTTTATTTTAGTGACGATCCCAGCAAGCGTCTCGCCGACCGGCATTCACGCCGTGAGGGGAATTTGCCCCTTTGAATTCCCTCATTCCACTAAAAAATTGGTGATCTGGGTAAGTGACGCATGTCTTATCCAGCTAATCACAGCGAGAATTCCCATGAAGATCTCTCTGACACACCGTATCTCCTTCCAGAAAGCAACAGCTATACCCTAAGATCATCAACCGATCGCTAGGTTCAAAAGGATACGATAACTTCGTAGTACTGCCTGTGAAATTCCATTCGGTTTGGTCTATCAGCAGATAACTTTGTTGTTCATAACGTTAGAAGAAAACTCTAAAACCGACCGCCGAACGAAGGAAACTATAGTAATTTACAACCAATTCCCCAGTTCTTCTGTTTTTCTCTTTTCAGAATCCCATCCATATACCCTTTAGTTTAAAGACACTAACCTGAACATCTCATCGACCCTAAGGTGAATACGTCTCTTCGTATTTCCCTCAAACCTTCCTCGACTTGTCAAGTCTGCAACGATGATGTGATGTATTCCAATCTGAGACCGTCTAGACAATCAACGCTCTTATCATTATCTCTTTTTGGCGTTGACACCCGTTTCCAAATAAACTCACAACGGATTACTCAGTGAATGCAGTTCACTGAGGTATCCGCTAGACATAGACGAGAGAAGCATCCGTAAGCAGCTTGAACAGACTGACATCACTCAATCAGATCTGTTCGAAGTGTTTTGTGGTCCGATGCTCTCTACTGCTGAAGAAAACAGTGGACCGCATAGACTTCTGGATCCCAAACGTATTAGCAATATGAAGTCCCATGTGGAACCAGAGGTCACAAAGAAACCCTCGATGAATTGGCCAAGTTGGCACTCCTGTACTGTGAAGGACTTACTCAGTCGGTCGACAGAAACACATGGTATTGGTCGACCTGGACAAAGTACCGGGCGTGTAGCTAGAACACGAATACAGTACAGCTCCTCTGTAATAACGGTATTTTCTTCAGCTTAATTCTCGGTCTGAACCTCTCAAGCTTTCTGGTTACCCCATTGGCAACCAGCATTAGGCAAATACTGGGTCGTGATTGGCTGTCGGATCCGGAATTCCGGCCAATCAGAGCTCGGCCTGATACCGGACCGGCAAGCGGCCCGAACTTTTGGCCAATCTTGTGCGGGATAGGCTTCTCGGCCGTAGCAGCGCCTAACTACGAGCGGTAAAGCGGTATCGGTGTGGAACGTCGCCTGACAATACCCCTTGCAAAAATATTAGTACACCAGGACTCAAAACGTCGTAACGGATTAGCACTGTCTTTAATAGTTACTGGTGCAACTGGACATTGGGAATGGGTGAGATATAACGAAAAGCTACCTGAGCTACTACAAATTCCGTTCGGATATACATTCCATAAATGCAGTTTGTCTATGTGATCAGTGCTCAACGTGTAGAATCGGAAACATTCTCAGCGTGCAAATTACGGAACGCAAGCACATTTGGGCGGTGGCTCAGAACCGCATCGGTCATGAGCGTCATGTCAACTTTGATGAATTGTGGGTTTATCAAGCTTACTTCATGTTACCTCAGAATTTGCGGTGATGTTTGAACGCGTGCGCAATTTAGGTCACACAGAAACACCCTTCATCATCAGGGCAACACACTTCCGCACTGACTTATTTTGAGGTAGTTTTGCAGAAATAACATCTAAAGGGCAACTTTCCGAACAAAGGGCTCTGCAAAAGTCCCGTCGTCTTTCAGACGGTTTCGCTAAAACGGTCCGACTTTTGTTTCCTATATTCGCACATCGTTTGTAAATATATCGCTCGAACTGACAAAATCGAGCACATTGCCTTTGTTCACATGGTCTGTATGCTCCAGCGAGTAAAGACAGACAGGTGTGCTTGTTTGAGCGATGACCTGGGATATACGGAGAAAGTATATACACCCGCTACACCAACCTCGGCGTCATGTTGGATCATTTTGCATCACGCTTCAACATCAGTATGCGTTTACATTCCTCTGTGAATTCCTTCAGTGAGATGTTGTCTGGATTCCATTCAATTCTGGATAACAAGCGAGTAAAAATTTCTGTCTTTCGGAGAACGTAACCCACAAACAAGAATGAGGGATTTGAACTGATCACGCGTGAGTTTGTTTAGTTTGAAGTGGCTGGATTATTTGTTAACGGTACAGCATAAGTTTCAGATTCAGATTCCTCAAAGTCAGTAACACGAGAACGCCAAGAATCGTGAGTTGAAAGGTGGTATTTTGGGGTCGGAAATCCTGATCAGGTGCCTCGCAGTTTCCTTGGATGCTATCTGGGGGGTGGTGGTAAAGTATAATTACAGGGTGTTTAATACTCTTGTGGTTGAATACGCCAGTGATAAATTAGAGATGCAGCGGAATTCATTGTGTACTCCCGTCAAAATCAAATCAGTGTGCAACTGGAAGTGGCCGGTGAAATATGACACGCCGACTGATAAACGGGTGAACCAACTCAAGATGTTGATGATATGAACTGTGTTCGGTCCAAAGCTGCGGAACTAATGCAAGTCAGTCTTCGTATGGGTTTTTTGACAGTTATTTTTTCGGCAACCTGATTTATCTTCCTGTACATGCATTTCTAAGTCCCTTCTCGTTTATTTTTTTCTGCAGATCGGCTCCAGTGCTATGCCGTATAAACGCAATCCTATCCGATCAGAGCGCGCATGTGCGTTGGCTCGATATTTAATGCATCTTTCAGCACCTTGCACCACAACAGAAGCCGTTCAGTGGTTAGAACGATCCCTGGACGATTCAGCCGTTCGTCGGATCGTCCTCCCAGAAGCCTGTTTAGCTGCGGATGCATGCCTAGTTCTTTTGCAAAACATATCTGAAGGGCTTGTATTCTATCCACAAGTAAGTTTGGACCTACTTCCTTAAACCTTCTTAACATGATAGAACGGCTAGTCCGTCGGGATTGTGCAACAGCTGCGCAGTACCCAGGTGTAGCGAGCTATTTCGAGGATTTCGACACTCACCAAAACCTCCGGCGAACGAAAAGATAACTTGCTGTTCCTCTGCAATTGTGTTGTGGCGGGATTTAACAAAAAATATCCTTTTTGTGACACACTCGTGAAGTATAGCACAAAAGATAGATTCAACTGGGATTCAGCTGGGTTTTTCGACAAAACTAACTTAGTTTGAAAATGAATGATCTGAGGATGTTGCGGAGGCAGCTGGACTGGAGACCGACCGGAGTAAGTTGGCGCACTGAAGACCCGACCGGAGTAAGTTGGCGACACTGAAGACCCTCTTCAGCGGCCAGACGAAGGCGGCCCTGGATGCGGCCCGAAGGGGCCCTGGGATAATGGACTGAGCCGCCGCAAGAGGAAGCTCTGGCTGCGGAGTTCGGCATACCGACCGACCGCCAAGAGCCTATGGGGCAGTTCAAGACGGCCAGGATGGAACCGGGGTTACCCTTTGGGTTCTTCGTCAGCTTGCAGCAGTCGCTGGTCGGGCCTTGTCGGAATGGACGGAGTGTCACGCCAGCAAACGCTGTCTCACCAGTTCGTCGAAGGTATTCAGTCAACGCTTCGTGCTCAGTTGCGGTTGGTGGAAGCAATTGGCCAGTTGAGTGTGGAGGAGCTGGGGCATATAGCACGTGAATTGGCCAAGGCGCCACTGGCCACATTGCAGTCGCAGGAGAACAGGGATGATTCAACAGTGGACGAGTGGACCAACTCGCCGAACAGCTTGCAGCTATCAAGACGGAATCGCGTAGGCACACTCGAACTAGCTGATGCTACAAGTGTGGCATGCCGGACCATTGGAAGAATCAATGCCCTCGTACCCGACCACCTGCGCATAAGAAAAATTTTGATTACTCTTTTCCCGGGTGGGTGGCGATTAGTGCATTGACACAGGCTGCTATACAGGCCGTTGTCAAAATAGACGGGAAGAGGGAGCTGTGCCTGAATCATACAAGAGCAGGGATATCGCTGGGACGGAGAGGGACGAAGCTGAATGCAAACCTTGCGTGTTAGCCTTGAGAGTGGTGAGTGGATTCCGACTGAAAATTGACGGATCGTCAATACACTCAATGCGCCTAGGCGACAAGTCCGTGCAACACGAGTTCCTCGTCGGCTCAGACATAGAGCAGACAATATTGGGGGCAGATTTTCTCAAGAGTACAGATTTCGTGGTTGACCTAAAGCAGTGTGATTTCAGTATCAATGTTTCGTTCTTATCTCTTCAGCTGCACCGTTTTAACGCCATGAATAGGAAGAACTGGTGGCAAAACAAACGAACAGAAGAAATCAGTTGGTTGATCAATCAAGCCCCGTTCCGTAGTCCAAGGTTAGCTGGATCGGTGGTTGTTGATCAACATGCTCTCACTGAAATTCAGCAATTTCGAGTTGATATTGTGGATATCCTTCTGAACGCTGTTTAGAATCAGTCCCCTGACCAACTGAATAAACGTTTTCGCGTCTCAGCTTATGGGCCATCCATCAGCCGATAGTCACCTGACTTAAATTGCGAAGCAAATGTTTGGTGATCAAGTTCGTGGACATATCCCACTACCACTAGTTCTCACATGTATGTGAACCTTGTTTTAAGAAAGAACATTATGATGCTACCAAACAACTAAGAGAGACGGACAAACCTGTGTTGCTCCAGCCGTACATAGACGCACGTGTTGTAAATGTGAAAAGACGTTCGAAAAGCATAGTGGATCTGATATAAACCACTTAACGAGAACTTGTTGGATGGGACCTGTACACTTCATTATCACTTGCTCCTTCGTATCCATTCAGCCTTCCAACCCACTGGTACTTATACGCCACATCTACGAGGAGCAACCAAAGTACAAAGTGATGAACTTTCTCTGAGACATTCTGACCATAGATGTCTGCCAAGGCAACCAGAGAGTTGCTGGGAATTCCAAACTTTATTCATGATAATTGCACATTTTTTTCAACTTGCCCAAGTGCCACACCAATTGCCGGTGAACTCCCAAAATATGTTTTCCGAACAATCTTGCTCTTTATTTATGAATACTCTTTTGCGTCAGATCGTGGAATAGTTTTACAATTTTTATCGTCTTAAGTAGCATGCCCACGTGTATTCCGTTAGAATGTTTAAGATAAACACTGCCTTTGTGTACGAAAAACATTCGCTTTGAATTCGAAGGGGGCGTATGAAAAAATAGGTGAAAATCACTGGCAGCCAATGTGGACCTTTGTTATTGATATTACTTTGGGCGTGGTTGAAAGACATATTTCCCAATACGGTGGACAACAACTTTGTTTCCGCAGACTAGAATCACCTCGAAAACACTCAGCCACATGAACAGTTCACATCCAAACACTTTTAGGCGTTCCCTGTACTGCAAACCCACGTGAACTGAGCAATGTTTACACTTTTCTAGTTTTACTCCTTTGAATTGAGAAACAATAGTAGTGTGTACTTCTTCGGACCGTATTTGTACAGTTGAGTCTTCAGGAAGATAGGTTTTTAACATGGATACTGATTTCTAACGGCTGCCCTTAGAATTTGCCAATGACTTTCGAGTAGAAATTTTTTGTCTTACGGCAATGTAAGTAAAGCCACCTAGCTACAGCCGTAAAGTGGGGACTGTCCACCATCATCGGTCGTACACTTGTGTACATCCAATTAATCATACTCCTGTCAACGGACAAAATCCATCTTCGACACCCATCGGGGGTTGTATAATATCTCTCTGTCCCACACGTGCAGATATTCACATACAGTTGTGGTTGACAAAATGAATGAATGTCAACCTATCTCAGGTCATTCTCTTCGCTGTGTCATGTAACTGGCTGGTCGTTGAGAGCATGAGATATGGAATTTTCGTTTCGAGATTTCCTGTATGTGAAGTCAATTTTCCCCGGAAACCTGGGAGGCGCCGCACGGTTCTTTCATTCACACTGGGAATCATCGACAACTCGCAACTCGCGAATCTCCAGATGATTTAAGCACACGCTACTCCAGCTAGTAGCTAAAAACTAGAGCGTTCAGTCACGAGTGACTGATCAACAGTATGATTAACTGGCGCTTGGGATATGGCGCCAATCCCTTCTCAGTCACAAGATCTACATCACGTGGTCATATGTGTTGAGGGGATACTCGAGTGACGATTTCTCAGATGGAAGGTTTAATCACCTGTTGTATTATTCTTCCTTCTGAGCTACAAATCGATCCACGAATGGCCTGAGACCCGAAAACCTGTCCCATCTATCGCTGGTCGTAGTTTTAACCCGAAAACAGCATTCAGAATATTATTCCGCAACATCTGTTCTATCTAAACCTTCGTATTCACAGAAGCCTTCGTTTTCACGCCTCCTTAGCCAGGACAAGCTATGAAAGTTCATCGATAGTCCGTCCGCAACTGCCTGTACGTTATGAGATGCGAGTACACATGTTTCAACAATTCACGGCCACATCGACAAACACACCAGCATCTCAATATTCTTGTCATCTGTTTAGGTAGGCTATTTGTTTTTCACTTACTGGTTCGTTGGTTTTGAGGAAAATACTTCCTGTTATCTGAGTCTGCGCAATGGCTGGCCTGAAAGAATACTGTTTTTATTCTACGTTCAGGGATTGGCCATCAGGAATCATAATTTACCCTCAGCCCTTCGTTCACCGATCTCTTCCCGAAAACCGCCCACTCTGTACCGACGGATACTCCTTTATCATATCTCATATTTCCAAGGATTTACCTTCGAAACTTTAGAACACGTCCGTTGGCATACCGTCCTTTTGTACTGCTATATTAATTTGTATTTGGGGGTAGTCCTGTCATTAAAGCATACAAACTCCGATGATCACGCCCCGTCCTACTGACAGTTATCTTGTGCCCTGACAGGTAAATTTAGACTAGTGCATCAATTCTTATAAGAGCTCACACAAGAGCATCCCGGTGATGGCCTTCTGTGGGCAGTTGTCACCTTTCGATTCATGCACCACTTACCTTCATTTAACCCGAATGCTCATAATGCAAGCTCTCCAGAGTGGGCACGGAGTTCGTGATACTCACACATTTAAGTTGAACTTGGTCATCACCGAATGAGATCACTGCGGCTTGAAGCATCACTATTACTTCCGAGTTGCGATATGTTGATTGAGCTGATTTTGTATTATCACCGTAGTTGTCCATGTGTTGTTTGAACATTCGCTAGCAACAACGTACAAAGAACACTTCGTTATGCTAGATTATGTTAGATTGTTTATTCTGGAAACTTCATGCACTCTGCAGTTCAATTGTCATTTCAATTATTCGGTCGTAAATCATGTACCAGGGTTTCCTCAGTCACAGCTACTGCCGTTTCCTTCGGTGGGACCACCACACACTGGAAACTGTTGCCTAGCTAGTTCATGGGTATTGAACTGTTCTGATGAAGTGGGAAGCTGGACAGCTGCACACTGAATGAGACAGCACCTTTGACTGTGGTTCTGGGTCATGTCTATGGGTGTCAATTATCGTTGATGTGCCCGTCTCTGAATGTCTCTCCAGTCTGACGGCATTTTACTAGTCAAGGCTTTCATATTTAATTGCCCACCTTTCGGTCGTTCCCATTCAGAGCGGACTGGATGTGTGAGGTGGGCCACCTACCGAACGTTAATTATGTTGCCTAGTCACGGGAGAATCTATTCCGAAAACCGTACACCGTGTCTCAGCAATACTGGGCAATACTCTGAAGGCAGTCTGAAGTACTCCCGCTGTAAATGACCGCTTTTCACTCCCATGGTGTGTGCTTATGTTCCTTGCCCCGTTCATCCGAATTTCAGAATCTGGATGATGTTAATGTCTAACCCATTAGAGTACTCACTAGCGGTGCTGACATACTTCTTGTTCGGCAAGCGGGCAGTCGCGCGTTGCCTTTTCGTTCCCATAATGCGCAATTGTGGTTGTCCTATTCCGTGGTTAAACTGCACTGTGATCAACAACACAGTTACTTATAGTTTACGAGTCACTGGCAACCATGCGGTTTTATCGGGCAGTGGGGTTCGTTAGCACATTGCAACCAATCATCCTACTCGCTAATGTTTATTGTTTGTCTTACTCTCAGATTATTGAAACGAATCTTCGTGCCGAACTTCCTTTTCTTGCCGTGGAGCATATTCTTGTCACTATGGTCTCTGTCGCCGGAGCGGATCGTCAGCAATGTCATGAACGGATTCGACAACACAGCCAAGCTGCTGCAGCGGAGGTAAAGTTGAAAGGAAGACCCAACGATCTGGTTGACAGGCTGAAGGACGATGATTATTTCGCACCTATTCGTGATGTCCTTGAGAAAGAACTGCTTGACCCCAAACGCTACATTGGTCGAGCAGTTGAACAGGTTCGTTTCTGTGTACCTCCACTTCTGTGTTTTGCATTGACTGTTTATCCGTATCTTATATTTATAACCGAAAATCCATATTCTAGTGAGACCGTTCATTTCAGAAGGAATGACTAACCTGTGAAGTCCCAGAACGCAGATCGAACTGTGGCCAAACCGTGCAGTTAGCCTCCAGGAGGTTCTGCCTAACGACATACCTATATCTGCGAGTAAAATTTATCGGAATCAGTCGGGCATGGAAAAGTCGGCCATGCGCGGTTAGTTGTTGAATCGGAACGAATGAACTGATTATTCATGAGTTACCAGTTAGTTTGCACCCAACGGTCCATATTTTCCATCGCGTTTCTGAATGAGGGACTCTTCTTCTGGAGACTGATTAACCCAAAGCCCTTATTGGAAAAAAATGCTTGTATTGTACACGTTCGCGAATTCTTTTTGTACTAGTGTTGACCGATTCAAGTCCCTCCTGAATGGATCGTGTCGAGTTGGCCGACACCGACCGGTTCTCATTGATTTACGAAACGTCACTCATAGCCCAGTTACGTACAATTATCATTTCGCTTCTACTAACATAGTGCTGGTTGTGGCTCTGTTTGTAGTTTCCACCGGTGGCGTCAATGTGCTGGATTGTCACTTTGCTCGCCTACTCCACTGGCGGTCGAGGTCTAGTCATATGCTTTCTCAAGTATTGTCAAACAGATATCTTTGATTAGACCAGTTTATTCGTGAAGAAAGCCTGGTCCATCTAGGCAACCAGTTCGCGCTATTAGGTTCACTAAGTTCAAGCTACATGCCCAAGCAAATATCATCAGACGAGCAACTGTGAATCAACCGAGTCGACTGATTGCGAAACCGCAGTCATTGTAGTGGCAACTAGTATGACGATAACTTTAGCTCCAGTGTGAATAAACAGGGAAACCATCTCTCAACTTTAACGCCCTTTCGGTGCATAGCCACCATGCCATTCGAAGGAAGCACGAGACTGAGATACTAACCATCTCTCAACTTTAACGCCCTTTCGGTGCATAGCCACCATGCCATTCGAAGGAAGCACGAGAGCTGAGATACTGCCAAGCTGCCTAAGCCTGGACAAGAGCAATCCAGATGCCAGGGTTGGGTTCAAACCATGACCTTCCGGTTAGTAAGTAAGCTCCCTGACCACCGAGTCATCTCCAGACCTAGTGTACGAATTTTTGTCCACTAACGTCTGAACTAAAATCTGACGCTACCTATCTACATCACTGCATGTGCTATTCGGTTAATCAGAATGAAGCTAACAAGTGTGGCCGATTAAAGTCAGCCGTTTCGCCCGTAAAAGATCGATCGCTTATGATATCCGTGGGCACCAACTTTGTGACCCTGAATATTTCTTTGATCTGGAGTCAAGCTTTCTCCTAGGTCCTCAAGGAGATGCTTGACAGATTTCATAGTCGGCAATGACTGCGCGGACAGTCAAACTGAACGGGACCCGGTTATGGAAAACCACTCCAGAGTGGTTCTTGACGGTCACACTATAGAGGTTCCATGCTTGTAGGTCCTATACCCGGCATCTTCACTATGAGCTGAAAACGATTGGAAAACGAAAAATATTTCCGTTTGAGAATTTGTGTTTTATGGTATGATAAACCTAGTTATGCTAGAATCCACTCAGGTGTTTGCGTTGTGGCTGTTGTCTTTGCCCACAACCAAATAGCATTTTGTTTGCTAGTATGTTCTATGTATCCGTAGTTGGTCTGTGTTATTTTGCCTGGAACTCCGCTACTATTCGTTGCTGTTCCGAACGCTTCAATTTCAGGTAGAAGAGTTTATCACTTCGGAAGTGGATCCGGCACTTCAACATTATCAGGGGAAACTCGAGGCTAGCAGCACAGTGCAGGTATGAGTTGTGTATCTCCTCATCCGGCGAACCACACGTCTGGAGCACTCCAAACCCGGCTTTTTCCACGACACTTTACAAACTAGTCATTCTTTACTCCTAGGCTACTACTATCTTCAATTCAGTTTTAACTCGCTTGATTACATACTTTTGCACCAGTTATTCGTGAATCACCTTTATTTGATGGGCAACTTTTTATCAGCATACACCTCGGGTTGAAGGGTCAACGATACCTCCCAGTAATCGGCGGTCTGAAAAATCATTCAGCTGTAGCACTTCTTCGGTGTCTAGCTGCTGTGCAACCCGAAGGAAGCACGAGGACCGGGATACTTCCAGGTTGCCGAAGCCTAGACAGGGGAGGTCGAGAGGCAGAAGTTGGGTCCGAGCCATGGATCTTCCGGTCAGCGGTCTCACCGTACTCATTTGATTTACGCCGTAGGTTTTGTTTGGTCTGTTTAGATTTGAAACGCTGAATTCCTTGGCCAAACAAGAATCTACAGTAGTTTGCGCATCAAATGACCTTTGATCAGATGGCCTTCAATCGGATAACAACGATCATCATATGATTCAACCATGACGCTTACTTCAAGTTGATGAGCTGGAGTAAAGAATAACCATCACGCGAGAACTATTTCTCCGCAGTTTTCAAGAGCAACCAAGTCAGCAGCGTAACGTCTTCTAGCAGGTGCTAGGAAATACAACTTTAGACGCTTACGTATGATTCTCATTGGAAAATTGCACGACGACCCACAAGTTGTTTGTCGGACTATGCGTGTAAGCATACAAGGGTCCAGCTTACATTCAAATATTGTTATTCAGTTACAAGCTACGATACGGCATGGGCTCACCAGAATGATTGATCCAGAATAGGAGGACGATTGTTCAGATGAGAGCCGTGTGAGTATGCATTCTACAGGAAATCCCGCAACCACCACCACCTGAAATATAGGTGAATGTGGCAGCGTTGGTTAAACCCAAATCGGAGATCAGCACATGATCGGTAGAAATACACAGCGTGGGAAGGGTAGTACATGACGTCATGTACATGTGACATCGTCAGCAAACACGGGCAAGAAGAATGGGAAACTGAAGAGTAGTCCAATTGTGATTTCCAAATGAAGCTGTTTTCAAATTTACACTGTAACAGGAAAATCTAAGAATGCCGTGCAAAATGGCTGAAACAAAAAAGATCCGATGTGTATGTTACGTGAAAGGTCCACTGAGCGCGCATGTCTAAGGACCAATAACAACAGACTTATTTTATAACGGTAGACCAAATCAAATCGGGTTGGCTCCAATGATGCTCAGGTTTGCTAATGCCCACAAACAATAGTTGGCTGCAAGATACGATTGTCAGGTTTACTCTCCAGTGTGCTCTCTCATCGAGCGATTACGCGATGAACAGTTTTTCGAAATATCGTTAGATTATCCCTTATTTAAACCCCAGTCTGTTGTGCCAGAATGGGTCAGACGGGAACCCTCTTTATCTGGATAACTTTGAGGGAAACCTCTTGTTTAGTCTCACTGTATCAGTTATCCTGCAAGTGTAGTATATTCGACGAGCGACTAGAAGCGCAGTCCGTTTCATCACCAAGATATACCAACTCTCGCCGCAACTGATGAATCCAAACACTCGGTAGGGTAGCACCTTGGCTTTTCAAAGGCTTGGGAAGTTTGGAGAAATCTCTGCAACCTCGTCCGCTCCGTGCGAGAGCAAAGCAGTATGATTGGCGATAGACTAGGTCGACACTGCTACAACCGTGACTGGTGTTGAGAGCCCTGAAAACGGAAGAAGTCCCTGTGACAGCGTCAAGTATACATGATGTGCCCGTTTTATCGTACAGACTAATGGTTTATGGGCTACGATGACAGTGAGGCTGTGCGTTGGTTCAATTCTGATGAGGCCGTGTCTGTGACGGAAAATCACTTTCGGCAATTCGCAGCATGATTTCGGTTCACTGATATTTTAGACAATAGCGCCACACTACACCAACTATATCAATGAGTGCAGAGTTGACGTAAAGCGTCTCAATGATTCGAAAACCATGCTGACGTACCAGCATCAACTGGGCTCTGCAGTGATATCCCTCGATCGATCCAGAACCCTGATGGGGGTGTGGCACAACTAGAAACACCAGATTATGATGATAGCAGTCAGCCAAATCAGCCAACTGCTCCCGAGACGTCCTGACTATTTTGACACAACAACCAACAGTGAAAAAAGTTCGCAATGAATCTTCTTGCCTGCCTAACATGTGGCGATGACATAAGCCAGGTTAGGCGACTGTGTGGACTAGTTTCATTTAGCTACCCAGGTTTCCTAAGTGGTTTCGACATCACATAACCAGTGTGCCGGGGCCAGTGACTTTCTAAAGATAAAGATTAAATTAACGAATACAACGTCATTCGTTTCGAAAAATGATCAAGAGCTAATCAGCTGCTTCTGCTTTCATGAATTTAATCGGACTTTAATGTATGTTGTATGATACTCCAAATTAATGCTTTCTCTTAGTATGGACATACTGGAGATCCTGCTTGAGGCAACGAAGTCTATCCAGTGAAGTCCAAGATGATACTGTTCCCGCGTGTTGTTTATCGCTGCGTTTCGGGAATCCGACTGGTTGGGATGAGGGATTCTTGCATGGTCCCTGGTTATCAATGCGCTGAATGGGCAAATTTCTTACGGTTTGGAGTCGCCTTGCTCGTTTTCATGCTTGGTGATTCTATGTGGATGGCAGAATGGCTTTGGTAACAAAGATCTTGTAAAACGTTTCCTCCGGATCCGTTGAATGGTCCATGTTAAGACGGGATCTCAACTGAGGTGCGCAGATGTAATTGAATTTATTTATCCATTTTTCGTCAAGATGGTGTATCTTTACTTTACATGTTATATCTGTGACTTATATACTTTTATACTGTTACTTATGAAATTAACGGTGACATCTCGTTGAAATGGTGCAAAAAGTCTTGCTATCTAGAATGGATGAAAAGGTCTGTGACTGAAGATGGAGCGGCGCCTGATTTCGTTCGAGAACAACTGCACTGTGACCATTGACTGTTGGCCGAACCAATCACTGTCTGGGCTGGGTTTAATGCAAACTCAGCATCCATATGGAATGAAAATAAAAATTACCACCATTCAAAAACGACTATTTGCATTGAATAATGCTTCACGGGGGCGTCCATATCCCATGTTTACTACTTTTTATAGTGTATTGTCATGCTGTTGTGGAACGATCTCGTGTAAGAAGTGGTCAAGTGCACTCGAAAGCTTGGAGAGATCAGTGTTTACATTATCTATCCCACGATCGATCGATTCAGAACGGGCTGGCGCAATCAACTTTTACAGGTTGACCTCAGCATGTTTTCTCTACATCAAACAAATTGGGCCAATCTAGGGATCGGAATTTGGCAACCGGTGGTGTGCTTTTGGATGGTTTCTTGTTTACAATAACTTACGTAAATACACCCGGAGTGTCATCAGTCCTTTTAGATAAAACCCACATTTGCAGTCGCCATTGCAGATTTTCGAAGATTTTAAAAGGCGTATAATTGTCGTACTAATGTGCACGCAATTTTAGAACTTCGTTCCAAAAACAATGTCACGGGATGCTGTAAAGAAAGAATGCTTCACCCTACGGGCTGTCAGGTTGAATGATAGGGGATCAAAATATGTGTATGACGGTAAAAGATGAACGTTTCAGGCCAATAAAATGGCCAGGTGATTTTTGTTATGGTACGGCGATGTGGAACAATAGACCAAATAGGAGTCACTGCAGCTGTTTGGTCAATGATGCCTCACTCTGTGTTGGGAGTTCTAGGCTGGTGCAAACTAGCAAAGTGGGGAACTGGGATCCGGTGGTTCGTTTTTGACCCATCCAGTTCATGGGCTTTGAGATTACTCTGCCTATCTGGAATATCTGCTCGATTGTCTACAAGTAACACAATAGTCGTAATGTTTCTGAAACACTTCGGCACACCGGTTCCCCTTACCTGAGGCTAATCAGGTAGACGCATCCTCCGAATTTCCGTCAAGCGTTTGTTCTAATTGAAACCAATCTGTATGAAATTCGCCAAATACACTCGCACACTTATTGCTTTTGACGGGAGACAACTGAATCCAGCTGCATCTCTCGTTTTTGACGGACCATTCAGTTGAGTCTCGTTAAGACCAAATCAGAGTACAAATGAGAGAAATTGGTGAGCTTCGTTTAACTTGAGTACAAACAGAACATGAGGCGGAAGGAAACTCGGAAACTGCGCCTATCTGATGAGTCCCAAGAAGGGCGAAACAGGTCGTGAGTTGTCGAAGAGGTTTCATCAACCTTATAATTAGTTTTCTTCACGAGAATCTACAGCAAAATCTCGAACCATAAAGTAGCAGCTCTGTGCAGCGAATTCCGTACACGAGAGCTTCAGCTGAAATTCATTTGGTCTCCAGTCACAACCAAATCACTGTATTAATGAGAGATCTGTCCGATCGCTTAAAAACTGTTCCCTAAATTCAATTAAACCAATCAATGACCTTAAATTCTGTTAACCATCCTATTTTCATCTAGAAATCGGGAGGGAAGGGAGCGTACTTTCTGGTTTGTCGAAATGCTGGCGCTTGCGATGAACTGCCATCTGGTTCATTCCAAAAACATATTGCTGCATTTTGGACTCCTAACCCAAGCTACTACATTCCATTAGGCGAATGAGGCCTTCACTCCTGAGTTTCAGTAAAAGTACTGTGGCATGTGATTAAATTTTCGGCATTGTTATGACTAAAACTAGGATTTACAAAAGGGGACAGCATAAGATTAGGTGCTGTAATTAGAATACCTCCTCCTGTGGCTTCCGGCCTTCATCACGACAGTTTATTATCAATGTATGATTTCCCATGTCCCAAAATACTTGCTTTTTATACACTGCCCTCAACCTTGGTGATTATTTTTTTAGTTTCCGACACCTTGTGTTTGCTCACCACGGCTCGCTAGTTCGGTTGTTGAATTTGGACCTCTGACACGCTTTCGAGCGCTGTTGGCAGAGATTCATGAAGCTTCCGGTTTGCACAACCGAAATCTTACTAGTGCTCTTGGTTCAACTTAGATATAATGAGTTTGCTTTTGGAGAACCATCATCCTGAAGTCTTGTGCACGAGCTCTCCTGATAGTGAACTCTCTTCTGTAGCATTGGACGTGGTCCAACGCCAGCGTACAGCAATAAAAAAGTTGCACGAAAATAGCCAAACGCCTTTAACTGGGATTGCTTCTCAGTACCGTATAACGCAAGAAGTTTTAGTTCTTGTTCCAGGTCAAACCACCTGAGGTACTCAATAGGCTGATTAGAGATCGTTGTTGTCACTTTTAGCATCTGTATCTTAACGCATATTCAGATCTCTCATAGAAGTCATCGAAAATAGGCCTTGAATAGTAAATATCACCCACAAAATCTTGACTACTTTTCTTATATTTGCCAAAATGAGGAGTTTCCACATGAGATTCACCTCCCCTTCTTAGGCTTAGATGGTTCCGAATTCCAATTCCAGCACAGCATTTAGTCGTGCTGACCTCTGAGAACGTTTAGGACCGGAATGCATCTTGGTAGATATGCGGTTCACCCGAAACACTGTTTGCGTATATTTTGGCTGTGTTTGCTTTCGAGACATACGTTAACAACAGGTGATGCATGCCATAATCAGGGTGGCCAGAAACAACAGTAAGAAAAGGGAATCCTGGTGTTATTTATTACGATATGAAGTAAAGTATGCTTCCAGGTTTGAATATGAAACCGGTGTTGTGAAGTAAGTTAACCTGGATTTCAAAAGCAAACTACTCAGATCATTGCCATCGCCTTGTGTGTATGGGACGAAACGACTGTCAGACATGGCCCAGTTGAGTGCATCCATCGAAGCTGTTGTCTTCAATGCATAGCTCCCCCCACCCAACTTCCCCAGTGAAGTCCACCCATGCCCCTGTATCGACGCAACAGTTATATCAGCTGCCGCTCCCAATGCTTCGCAGTCTATCCCTACCTCTCCAAGATGATGGTGGAGTTGAACAGTTTGCAAAGCCATCGATAGACTGGCCGCATCCAAAAACTCACATGCTTCAAGACTACAATTAAACCCTTGAGATTCTTAGTTGAAGGCCCACCGGTCGCAAGGGAAAAATTCCCATTCAGCCGGAGCACAAATAGAGGAGATAGCCTTCCGGAATGATGCATCATCTTCGCCAGCTGAGAACCCGGCTGCGGATTAAAATAGACCACTGAATAAGGTGGGTGTCATCCTGTGCGTATCGGTCTCAACTTTCTAATCGAAGCACTGATACTGTTTGCGTTATCCTCAAGTGTCCTGTCACCAATTTGGATGTCCTTCGAAGAATGAAGTGAATGTAGGTCAACTGAGTCAAGAGACTAGATGTACGTCGTCGAATTTATTACCCACTGTATGGTTTTCGTAGGCATATTGACGGTTAGATTTATTTCGCGTCCTGATATCCTACAAGTTGCACTTCGAACAAATCACTGCTCTACGCCAGTTCCCCTGAGCTGGAATTTTGACTCATCGCTTCTGAAGGCGTCCTGAAATTATTCGCGCGAGGTGGGGAAATTCTAGGCTTTTCCAGTTCATTCACCTAGTGGCAAAACTGCATTACTCCTGGGTTTCTAGAAGATGGTGAAATGGTAATAGCTGAACAAAAAGTACATCCAATTTCACTGTGCGAACTAATCAGGATAAAGGCAGTTACACCCAGACCGTGGTCATCCAACCAATAAGAAACTACTCGATCGGTACATGATTAGAGGAATTCGGTAAAGTTGTTACCACCGGCATGCCAGAGTGAGAATGTCATTGAATATAGACTCAGGTAGCACAGTCGGTGGCTGGTTTGTTTGCTGAGCTAGGTAATTTAGTTTCTAATGTATCACTATCAATCGGTGTCATCAACTGTGCACAATTACAAAGAACGTAGCATTATGGTTTGCTACTTGCTCGGGCGGTCATACGGACTGCTCTGCTGTCCTGTGTTGCACTTGGTCGATCACCGGGAGACCTTTGAGCTTGGCCTGTTCTTGTCCACACTCCCGAATCCTAACGCTTAAAGTTCAGAACACACTGACCTATTTCAAAAACAAGGTCTCCGTAATGTGTGTACTTCAGCAGAGTAGAATGGTTACTTGATTAATAAAAACCCTGGAGTGAATGGGACGGTGTGCAATAAATGGGTAGGATGATTTTTAAAGTACACAATCGAGCATTTCTTTCGGATCGTATGTTGAATCGCATACGTAGTGAATAATGCTACGCTGTTAATTAGCCAGAACATAGTAAGCGTTTGCTCCTTCGCCTGGTTCAAGGGCTAGGCTGGCTGTTCGCCGCTACCTTCTTTAAGGAGCATTATCCGCTTGTCAACATAAGGCTCAGATTCGTTCTATTCTCGAACGCCAAAATTCTGAACATACAAACACCATAAACTCTGTTTTCCTCAACAACCTCTCATAACTGAGACTAATCTAAAAATGAGCTTTGCTTATTCCGCAAACTGCTTCACCCGCGCTAAAAAGACGGGAAGACGCAACACATATCGATTAGATGGACCGGGTCAGAGGGCACGACCTCACACTTCGAAGGCGCGAAATGCGGCACAAAGATCGCTTCTCTCCCTAGAATGCAACAGTGCATTTTTGACGGAGAATAACGATGTACTGAACGTCACCCGGAAGCTATACACCCATGGAGTAGAAACATGAGTGTTCATTCCGTTGCATCAACGTCGAAAGCAAAAGGGAGGTATTGGCGATCATTGGCTGAACCCATCTGGTGTGTAGAACGCTCAAGAAAGTTGTCCGTATGGCCTCGCTCGCAAGATACCGACATAGTAAATCGGCACCGTTCGATGAAGCGAACTTCCCCATTTCCGGTAACTGAATCCAAAGCAGATATCGGGTGTAGAAATACTGAAATTGCCAGTGGTTGGTACTTTTACCGGAGCCACAGTGTGAACCATAGAGTAAAAACTTGGTCAGACGGGGACATCACAGTCGTCTTTGAAGGGATTGCGTTTGTGTTTCAATGCGTCTTCGAATTCATATGGAGAATAGTCAAAGTTAGAATCCTGTAGATCAGATACGGAAGCTGAACACCCCGTCCTCATCAAATACATTGTTTCCCGATGTCCCGACCAACTGTCAAGATAAATTATGAAGTGAGTTGCTTATTTTTTTAAGAACCTTCGATATGGAACCTGATTGGACCCGTGACGTACCACCCAGTTGGTCGCCCTACTTGGCACTCTAAAGCCACCTCAATCGTGTGAGGTTTTGGTAGTTAGTGCAGGAGTTTTGAACTAATGAAATCTCATGCTCTCCGACAGAAGAGTACGCGACTTATCTGGAGGATGACGGCAAAGCCACATTCATTGCTTCGCGGGTGCCTGGAAATAATAAAACCTCGCATGCCTGAGGTGGTTTTGGAATGCCAAGCATGCAGGCACGTCGAAGGTCCAATCGCGTTTCTCTACGGACGGGCATTAAAATTTTCTCACAAGCCCACTTGCATCGGCTGCTGTTGAATAACACCGAGTGCCACTCCTTACATCCCCAAATTCGAGTACCTGAACAGTACCAGTCGATAACGAGGAAAAAATGATCAGGATCATACAATTTTATGTACACCAATCTGGATGTCTTAACACACTGCTATCCTGGCAGAATAAGAGCCATGCGGCTTCGTTTAACTTTCTGGCGCCGAACACGTTTGTCCCGTGCCGTTAGCAGATCTTCGAACAACACCTTTTGTTGGCTTTCTTCAATTTTCAACTTCAGGTACTCGAGGGCTGCCAAATTCATTCCGAAGAGTTCCTGTGAATGCGAAAGGATAGAGCAGATTGATATGTAATTTCGGAGATCATCAGGGCATGTCGAAAAGCCATGTGAACAGAACTTCGGTATTTGTGATAGGACCCTGTTTCAACGCGAACGGTCCTGTCTTGACGTACTCCACGGACATTTCAGAAGAAAAATGTGAAGCAGTCGACAATTTCGTGACAAGAATCTGAGCAAATTCTTCTACAGTAAGCGAAAGAAATCATTACGCTATACGATAGCGAGGCCGTTAATATCGACAGGCCCTCGCGGAGGACATGGTCACAATGAATTAAAGTTTTGGTGAAAAAGTCGTTAGTCAGCGGGACTTAGAAAGATTCAGAAAAACGTCAATGTCTGGGAGAATACACTACTTGTAGCGTTACTGGAAACGCTCCGATGGTTCGTCACCAGTTTAGCCCTTCCGGGGATTCGTCAGCTAGACCGGGTTTCAAATAGCCTTATGTTCCATTCGAACATGGGAGTATGCCTCTTTAATGATATTCTTGAACAGAATATCTCGTCAAACAATTTTCAGTAACTTTAGTAGAGTAATCAGTCAAGAAGATATGGTAGGAGATCGCAAATCTTGTATTAACTGAAACATGAGGCGGTCTGGTTCAGCACATCCAGTTGAAGAAGAAACCCTAAAAGGCAGATTGAGCCGCGCTTCAGGTGAGTCTCCCGTCAAAACAAAAATGGGTGTATTTCGCTAATTTCATGCAGCTTGGGTTCAGGCAGAACATAAGGTTGACGGAAACTCAGGGAATACGCCTACCAGATGAGCCCCAGGAAGGGCAAAACCGGTCATGAAGTGACGAAGAGTTTTCAGCGACCTCATGAGTAATGTATTACGGTTATAAATTGTATTGCCAAATCTCGAATATCGTGCCAATAAGAGGGCTTGGGTCAGCAAATTCAGTCGAAGAAATCATAAACGACAGATTCAGTTGAACCTCCCGCGAAAAGCAAATTGGTAGCGGGTATATCCTCACCCTTGATCAATAGTTTGCAGAGGACTCCTTGTGAAAATCTTACAGTAAAATAATACTCGTGGGAATAAACAGAATGTGGACTGGGCATTTGTTACAAACTGACAAACCTTCAATTTTCCAAGCTGATTAACACGGGCCTCTCGAGACTCTTGTAACATATCACGTAATGATGCACTGGTTACAACCAAACCAAAATGTAAAGTGACCAGATGTCTGATTGCCCGTCCCACGAGTTCGACTTCCAAACCTCGAGAAAGCCAGTTCGCCAGACGGGGAAGTAGGCGACGAGCGTGTTGCGTAGTGATCGCACCGACAGCATGCTCCAAGCCAGCCCCTCCCCCACCTAGACGACTATTCGGTGCTCGGAGCTCTGCGAGGCTGGCGAGTAAGAATCGGTCGGGACAATCGATTCCACGAGCCACCATCAAAGGATGAGGTGGAGGGACAGATTTGCAGGAAGGCGGTAGCTGTTTTTTGGCAAATTCTTGTTCACAAATGTCGATCGCTTCCATAAGCATATCGGCCTACAGTGGGGTAACACAGTGCGTGGATAAAATATGGGAACTGACGTCTCTTACTCAAAACGTGATTAACAAAGTGAAAAGACAAATTCACTGACATCAATGTATCTTTGAAGAGACTTATGAAACAGCACAACATATTGTTGGCTTTCCGAAGGTTGCGGAGCCATAAAAGTAACTTACGAACTGAAATGGTGCCGCAAGAATTCAAAAATAGGCACACAATTCGATGAATACAGTTGTCCCATATCCACAACCTATTGGCCTCAAAGGAATAAATCTACAGGTTTGTAGTACGAACTCTCCTTTGGTTCATTATATATATATATATATATATATATATATATATATATATATAATCTCGTGTGTTCTTCTATTATGCCCG